GGAGACAGCCAGGCGTTCCGTTGTTTCAGCGGTGTTCGGCAGAAAAAGTGTCAGTTTTTAGTTCCATAGAAATAGAGCCAAACACCGCTGGGCTTTCGTGTGGTTTAAAATGGCCGCTGCCTCGTGGTCGACATACGAACGACGACCACCCTGAATTCGGTTTAATTGAGAAGTGTCTGCGGTTAACCACAACGTTCTAATTGGGATCAATAGGTTAACCAGCAGCACACTTCTCTCCTGGGTGGCCGTCCGTTCGGCAGGTTTGTTCGGGAAAAAGAGTCATTCGAATGGCTGGGCTATAGAAAACAGCCATTCATATGAACAGGATACAAACAGACGAATACACCTAAAATAAGCAGACCTGACAGACACATGACTTCCTCTTTCTTTGCTGCTCCAGCCAAGGCACAGGTCAGAGTATTTGCTTCAAACTGCCTTTTTAATGATCTGGCATTTGTTATTTTATTCCTTGATTGATATTCACCCCTGTTCCCCCTCTCCCTACTTTACCCACTTTGTACCTGTAATACTACTGTCAAATGTTTTACTGGTATGTTTTACTGTAATTTGTTTTGCTGGTGTGTCTACTGACTTTGCTTTCACTACCTGTCACTAACCTCGCGCAGATCGCGTCGTTTTATCGCGATCGCGCTTTATTCTTCTGTCTATTTCTGGGATTGCAGGCAAGGGTACTGGGGGTGGGGGGAGCGAGGGGAGGCTTTGCCATACCGGCAGGCCGCGACCGTGGGACGCACAGCTCATTTGCGCACGGACGTCAGCCATCTTGAATCTCGCGGTACCGTGAGATTCACGTCGGCCATTTTTGTTTTTGACAGTTTGTGATTCTCACGAACTGGCATAGTTCTCACTGCAATGTTTATATGTACCTACTGTTCCTACATGATTTGTGCAAGCTATTCTTTACATAAAAAGGGCCTATTGATTTCCTGAGGTGCACATAGGATTAAAGTTGCATACTAAAATAAATCTGCATGATTGTGGCTCAGAAACTGATAACTAGTGTCCAGCCCTTTCCTACTCCCTCTGGAATTATCCAACTACTACATAGGGACACATTATTCATGATCCAAGGGTGGATGCATATTGTTCATTATATAACAGGGGTGACCCCAAGCGAGTCTGGCACCAGCCCTAAGGAACGTACACATACGCTGGGTGACCCCCAAGCGAGTCTTACTCCGGTGCTAGTAGCATACATACATTGGGTGGACCCCCCTTTCCGACAGGGTCACTCCCCGCGCCCTTTTAAGGGCTTCTACCCACAGACTACGCTCTGTCACTGTATGCACAGACCAAGGCGCACTAGATGCATGTATTTTGGCACCGCCACGCTACAACTCGGGTGATCCGTACACCCCTCCCTGAGCCGGGAAGAAGAGCTCACAGTGCTGCCAAAACTCCACAGTACTATACTATATAAGGGTGACCCCCTTGGATTATACATATTGAGGATACCACGCCTCCCATACATGGGCTACGTCCCAGCATTGCCGACCGCTCATCCGGTCTTATCGAGGGTGACCCCTTCCTCAGACCACTCCTCGGATTTTTTACGAAGTGGTACTGATTGACTGAAATTCTGGGTGACCCCCAGTTGTACGTGGAGGCCACTGAGTGGTAATAAGTGTACTACTGTACCAGAGACCTGTTCTGTCTCCCACAGACCGGAAGAGTGCGACCCAACATGTTGGACTCCCCTCAATCTCCCCCGACCGATTTCAGTCGAGGATTAATGCTGCTGTGGCAGCTTCGGTGGAAAAAGCCCTCGCCAAAATGCTGGCAAACAACCCATCTGACATGGCAGATGCGATGGCCCCACCACCAATGGAAGCTAGAGATACCGACAACGATAGGTCGGACACCTTATCATCTAAACGTCATAGGAAGAGCTCCACCGCGGCTTCCCCGAAGGGGAAAGGTAAGGCCCCGCTTAGGAGAAGCTGTCACTCAGAACGTCCTAACCATTTACCTCTCAGGCTCCAGCATCAGGGGATGAGGACTCTGTGACGAAGTGCCCTTGCCACTTGTGCCTGGAGGGGAGGACTACTGGCTAGCCTCCTGCCTTCCGACTATGGCCTGGCCCCTCTGCTGATAGCTGTATTTTACCCTGCAGAAAGGTTCATTTGTGTATTTCTGTCAGGGCATTCAAGACTTTCAGTATTTGAGTAGTGCTACCCCAGATAGCTATGCCATGGGGCCTATTCGTGTACCGAAAGACTATGGAAAAGACTTTGGCTCCATGCCGATTGAACTGTATGTATGTGATCTGAGCGCCATTCAGTAATAATGTGCGCTCAGATCTAAGCTGTCTGGGGATATGTTGCATGTATATGTTTTATGTAGTAATTGTAACATTGTGTAATTTTATGTCTCTTATATAACCATGTGGTTAATGGAGTTTTGCCTCTGTCCTATGAGATAATTTGATTACTTCCCAATTATCTCCAGGATAGAGAGGAGGGATTGTGATGTCACTGTGGGAGTGTTTTGTTTGTATTGTCTGTGATTTGCTAATATCCAATATGTGTCCCATAGTTCCATCAGGTCCCCTAGGGGAGTGTCCACCTGGTGGACACTTGCATAAATACCGGGCAGGTAGCCCTCAATAAACCAGACCTACTTGCACC